TACATTGCTATTGTTCTAGGAACTTCATATTGAGTACCATGTCCCTGTGTTGGTACATGGCATTACCTCACCTGATGAACTGCATGGAGAACTTGTATATGCACCTTTGCAGTATATGAATATGATAAACTTCTCTTCATTCCTAAAAACCCAGCTTAGATGTCACGTCCTCCAGGGAGTCATCTCTGATCAGTTCTATTTCTTCCTTTGAGATTTCATTAGTTCTCATTCTTTTTCTCTATCTTAAACTTATCTGGGTTGTTCTATCTACCACAAAACATTGAATTTTCTTTTTTTATAGCCCCAGTCTCACAACTAAAGAGTTCCTTGAGTATAGCTACTCTCTTTATCTTTGTATCTCAAATATAGTGGAGTGTCTGACATATTTTAGGTAGTTAAAAATATTTTTAAGAAATATTTTTTTAGCAAGACATTGGGGAAACAAAAATAACAAAGTATTGATCCTGATTGAAGCTGGATGATAGATGCATGCATAACAGTTCATTTTACTATTCTCTATACTTTGCTTTAAATGCCGAATTTCCCAAAATTAAAAGTTCAAAATAACTGAACACCTTACATATCAGATAGCTGACATGTACCAGAATTTTAGTTTCTCCCACAGATAGTCTCAGTATCTATAACTCTGAATTCTTCTGCCACATATTTCCTTCCTTTCTTATAAAATATTTGAAGCCAAATATCATCAACCTGAAATAAAATACAAAGATTCCATTTCAGACAGGTGTTATCAAAGGATATTATATTAAATATGAATTTCTGGGGAAAAAAACTGGAAATTGCCATTTTAATCAAGGAAGAGGGCATTTATACAGATTTTTGCCTTTGCTGTCTCTCTGAGTCATTTATACTTCCCTCTCTTACCACTATGCTCAACTTTACCTGAATGTTGACCCACCTAGAGGAATACTGTGTCTACTGCTTATTTTCTTCCCCCCACAGTTAAGGATTATGAGTCAATGGCTCTTCACTAGTTAGAGAATTAATGCATGCCCTCTGTCCTTAACTCAAGTTACCTCTTCAGCTCCATCTCCCATTTCAACATCCTGACTCCCACCTACACTATGAGCCTCTTCCCATATTCATAAAAGCCACCTCCTGCCAATGCTTAGGGTAATGGCCTAAGTTCTTTACTCCACCTGGAATGTACTTCCCTTAGGTGTCCAATTTGGGAAATCCTTCTCACACTGCAAAGTTCTATACAACAGCTATAGCTGTGTTTCCAGAGGCCCTTTTGGGGCTTATGTCCAATGCTATCTTCTTCTTTAATGTTTGATAATTTATTCCCTTATTAGAATTACTAGAATGTAAACAATTCTGAGGACAGATTCCTTTAATGTTCATCTTCACCAGTCATTGTCTAACAGAGGACCCTCCACACATTTAGAATTCAGTAAAACATACATGACATGCTAAATGATGAAATGATGAGATTAATGTTGTGAATGTTCTTTCTTGTTCCCTGTATTAATGAGTAGCTATGAGTATAAAACTTCAAATCATTATATTAAAATCCCATTAGTCATTTTAATCCTCTTTACAAATTGCTTTTGCTTCTTAAACCTTGCATTTCATCTGAAAGAGAATTATTTTGTAAAACAGGGTTTTATCAAAGTCGGAATCTAATTCTGATGAAAGCAGAAATGTTTCTCTTAACCCTTTCTACCCATGACTAATCTCACCAGCCATTGTAGGAAATACTAATGTAACATTGCTTTATTCTAACACTACTATCGAATTCCTCTTTCAAGAGACTCAGAACTGGTATCTAAATTAACTAATTTAATTCAGTCACACTGGAAAAAATACTCCATAGTGGTATCAGTGAAGAAACATTGCCTCCTGAGGACAATTGTTGCCTAAAAGAAGTTCAAATTTCTTCTCTGCATCTCTTCACCTTCACTTCTCTACTAAAAAGATTGGCTGGTTCCCTGACCATATTTTCTAGGTGGCCTGCTCTCAGTGGAGTTTAGTCAATTTACATGAGAATAGCCTCCCTTGACCTTTTTATACTTGCAGGTAGAAAGGTTGGAGACCTGGGTCATCCAATATTGGTGACTTTTTTCTTATTCCTTCACTAGGCTGGTGACCAAAAACCCAAGTTCTGTTTCTGCGTGGGCATTGCCACAGTCTGAGAAAGGCAGATGGAAAACTAGACTGGATCCTCATGCTCTTATTGGGTTTCATCATTGGACTCCACTTGGATTGACCTTTGTTGTATATATATATATATATATATATATATATATACATACACACACACACACACACACACATGCACATATATATATATGTGCGTGTGTGTGTGTATATTTCCCAGAGGGTCAAAATTCGGTAAGATTTTGGAGAAAAGAGCTCAAGAGACCACTTGGTTTACTATTGTTTAGTTTTCCTTCTTGTCTATGCTAAATCCATGGTCTGGCTTAGATGCTAAGCTTGGGACCCAAGGTTTTGATGGCAGTCATCAAAACTTTTCAGAACTCATGACTACTGTGTGGTCTTATTTTCTGGGAATGTGTATTTTCTTTGTGGATAGTTCAGGACATGGTTCTGGATTCAGGTAATTTTCCATGTTGTGTTTTCATGAATTCCCTTTCCCAATATTAGAGATTAGGATTAAAGGAAAGTAAGTGTGTTGCAGTAGGAAAAACACTCTATAGGATGCAGCAGACCCTGGTTTGGGTTCTGCCTCTGCTCCCAGTTAGTTCTGTTTTCTGATCAGTTAACCTCACTGAGTTGCAGCTGTCTCCCATGGAAAATGAGAGAATTGGAACAGACCAGCAATTTTTTTTAAATCTTTACTTTAGAACAAAAAAAAGGTTGGCTTCAGAACAAGTAAGGAGAGATGGGTACTACCTCATTTATGGTGGGAGACCGGGTCTCTGTATTTTTGCCTTATCAAGGCTTATACATAGAAGCAAAAGTTTGCCCAGCTTGTCGGACACTTTACATAGTATCTATAAATATGTAGGCACATCTATATATATGTATGTGTATAGAAATACATATTCATATATGGATATGGCTATTATTTCGATATGAATATGGATATTCATCCCAAAGAAGAGTTTTTAGAACAGCTCAAAATTCTTTGATTCTAGTTAGGAGAATTGAGTACACAATTCTATTTTTCCTATTGCTTGAACTCAAAGTTGATATTTTCATGTGAAAACCTACATCATAAATTAAAGAAGAAAAGCTGAATCATTAGCAGGGGTCTTAAGCTTGGGAACTTTGGGTCTGAACGTTTACATGGCCAACATCGGCAATGGAAGAGTGGTATGCTAGCTTGCAGTGCTGTGAAAGCTGACTTCCTCAAATACCTGCGTGACCATTCTAGAAGACTGCTTCATCCAGCTCTGAAAGCACTGTTTCCTGACCTAAAGTTGGGGTGATAGCCCAACTAAGTCTAGAGAATAAAAACTAATATGAAATTAATGTGAAAGCAGAAGGAAAGAGGAGAAATTATTCCAATTATAGAAATTCAAATAATCTGTCTGTATTTTATTGACACCAACATTAATTATTGAGTCAGAAATTGTAAAAATACTGCAAGTTTGCTGTATGGCACTTGGAGAAAGTTGCTTATGCATTGTTTTCCTTCCAGAGGTTAGAGGAAATGAATGTGCAATATGAGAGAAGGAAGAAACTCATTTCTGAGGTTTCATTTAATTTCAATACAATATTTTCATGTGTGCCTGAGCAGAACTTGTCACGGATTGAGAATACTTAAATGAAGATATGAAAATTAGAGAACTTCTTTATGTTCTTAAATTGGTCTAAAGAGTAGAAGCTAATGAATCCACTTTGTAGGAAAAAATAATTCTTTGATGGTAAGATGCACTGACCCTTATTGACATAGTAACAGAAACAACCTGTGTACCATTTAGTTCAGGATGATGTCATTTTAGCATCAGGTCTTAGCGCCTGTAGTTAGAAAGAGTAGAAGCGCATGCAGTCTCACGCATTTCCATCACCTTCCAACACTACACACAATGTGAGAAGTGAACATACATTTAAAAATGTTGCAATAAAAAATCATATCCTCTTCCAAAGGAATGTTACTAATTGTCTCATGCATTCCATTCTTTCACTTGTGAAGAAGGGAGACCTTGAATATAGAATTGATGTCCTATGATTGAGGTTGAAGTGATGTAAAGTATATTATTTCAGTAATCATTTCATAAAAAGTACATATGCAGGCATTATATACAATATATGTGTGTGTTTGTATACAAATATTCAAATTGCTAAAGCAAAGTTACCAGCCTTGTTTTACTCTCCTGTCTTTGAATAACAGAACTGCTTTGGCTAGTAAAAATACATGTTGGACGGAGAAAACATTGGCAGCAATGTTGTCCTGTGTGTGCGAGTCCCCACCCACAAAATATATCAGCAAAGTGGCTCACTGACAAATGCAAATGAAACACTTTTGCACATCAAGTGTTCAAAGCACATTTTTGCTAAATACCCATTAATTCAGTTTCCAACCAAAAGCCTACCCATTTTATATCATAACCAACAACCCAGCTCCACCCCCGTACCACCTAACTAATGAGGCACACTGAGGATATTTCTCACACAAACCAGGGTACGCCTTCAAAGCATGGGATGACTAATGACATTAAGGCGTGGTTGCCAAGATGAACTTGACAATCAAAAAAAAAAAAAAAAACAGCCTGTATTACCACCCCGTAGTAGAGTCCTAACCTCCCATCCTGACAGAATAGACTTCAGCCCCAATATCATTCTGAAAGAGGATTCTAATAGAAAGGTACAGGTACCCGATCCTGCCCTCCCAACATCAAATATCTGGGTAAACAGACAGCAACTGTCCAACGCCAGGCTGCTCCAAGTCAAGCATGCATATTTTAAAACTTTGGCTATTAAGCCTGCTCAACTTCTGCAGCGTCTGTAGGTCTGTATTCCGTTCCCAACCAGACCTGACCAAAGGCACAGCCTGGGAGCGACCACTTTACCTTCCGAAAAATCAATCAGTCCCAGCAAATGAAGCAGCTTCAGAGATGCACATATAATCACAACAATACCCACTGTTTGCAGTCCTTCCGACTCCCACTCTAGAGTCAGCATCTTTCGGGCGGGCAGCGCATGCCAGCCTCCAGCCCTCTGTGGAGCGGAGGGAGTTAATTAGACAATCCGAGGAAGAGCTGCTGGGAACAAAGCCTGGCTAGGGGGAAAAGAGAGCAGCTCCTCGCAGAGGCTCGGGGTACAGCAGCGGCCCCCCGGGGTGAGGACCGACCCCGACTAAAGTCCAGCCTCTCATGCTGATGCTGGCATTTGCCGGGTGGGGTCCCCCAAACACCGCGTCAGGTCTGGGGACTCTGCGCTGCCACCGGCGAGTACTTGGACTTCAGAGCTGCGAGGGGACCATCTGTTGGAGAGCTGGAGACTTTGCTGCGTCCGTGAAGAGGAGACACTCAGAAAACTTGCCTGGAGAGCAGCGGCGCCCCAGGGCGCTGAGGCTGCAGCGCGGGGCTGGTGGGGGCTGCCTGCGCGCGAGTTTGCTGCCCGGGGAGCTCCTGAGTGTCCCCCTTTTGCTATAGCGACTGCTGGCTCCTCTCCCAGCGCGTTCAGAGAGCTGCTCAGCTCCCTCTCAGGACGCTAGGGAAAAATCAGCCTTGGCGGTTGGTGCCTTACAGCCTTTTCAGCAAAAAGCCCATGGGCAGCTTTTCTAGGTAGAAAAGTGCAGGAGCAAAACATCTATGATTCAGTGGCTCCGTGGAGCGCAGCACCGAAGCCTCCTCCCACCTGCCACTCCTCTGGGGCTGCTCCGGTCCCTGCTGACACATCCTCAGCATTATTAGGGAGATCAATTTAGTCCTTATACTTACAAACAAGGGTGGAAGAGGTGGGGTGGGGGCAGAGCCAGACCTTGTAAGGACATCTGCATTCAATGCCTCCCCCCTGAGCATAAGTACCCCCCATTATCCTAGAGAGTCAGGCTTCAGTCAGTCTCAAAGCAAAGTTTCACAAACTTCCCTGATGATAAAAATCACCTGGGGTGCTTGTTAAAAACACTTGGTGAGTCAGATTCAGAGGGTTTTGGAGTTTGTGTTCTTAAATGGGAAGCCAGGGGATGCTTGGCCTCTGGGGAGCACCAGGCAGGTGGTTCCCCAGCCTTGGGGTGATCCAAACCAGACAAGCCACCTGAGCGGCTCTGTGGGTGTGGCCAGGGAGTCTGGGCTCTGCCAGACCCCTCTGGCTTCATCACTACCTGTTCTCTGTTCTCTGCTGAAGCCCATCTAGATAGTGGAGGTAAAGAGAATCCACTGGCCGGGACCCAACATAGGATCCCTGGAATTTACTAGGAAACATAAGCCTTTATGAGTATAGTTTACAGACCTCCCTCTCCTGCCATTTCTTGGTCTATTTCCTTGCTGCTTGCTTTTCTGTAACACATCTAACCTCTCAGAAAATAGTTTCTATTTGGTGAACCTGAGATTAGAGCATTTTATTTAAAGGTCTCTATTTAGATGTGATTATAGGAATGAAGCATGACTGCAACAGTAGCTAACATTTACTGAGCACTTGCTATGTTCCCGCTAACAGGGCAGTGCTTTATCAATAATTAATCCCTCCCTATAGTTGTGTGTGGTATGTGTGATATGTATTATGCCCATCTACATTTTATACATTTTACACATGAGAAATGTAAAGAGGTTAATTTACTTGCCAAAGTGCAGCCACAGTGCTTGGTAGGTAATAGGTACTCATTTGGCTATTCATGAACATTGATTAAACTGCTATTAGGAGCTTGAACAGTATATGAATGGTGAATAATGTCAAACACTATTGGGGGGGACCTACAGGCTACTTAGGGGAGGATCAATAAGTACACTAGCTCTTGAATAGCTGTCCCTACAGGCCACAGTGGGAGCGCAAGAAGGTAAAGTGAGCCCCACCTGGAAAAAGGTGGGTGCTGGTGGCTGGAAGGGGACATCATAGAGAAAGCAACCATTAATTGAAGCTCTCCTCCTTACTAGCAGTACAGTATATGCAAGCTTTGGGGAGATGCAGACACTGTCTAAAGTTAAATCCTACTTCTGTAACTTACTGTGGGGAACTCTTCCATCTTGGAATCTCAATTTAGTTCAAGGTGGGGTTGCTACAGCCTCCTCATGGCTGATGATGTGGACAGTTGAATGCAACCTTGGGGATCCCCCTGCTCAGCACATGGCAGCTTTGACAACCCTTTCAAGGACTGCTGGCCCAAATGTAAGAGATGACTTTGCTCTTGCATGGTCCTGCCAACCCTCCCTATTCCTAAGTCTAGTTAGTCTAGTTCTGATTTTTTTTTTTTTTCCTATGAAGGCTTTCTGCTCTCCCCAGCCCCCAGGGTTATCTCCCTCTCTGAGCAACAGGACCCCACTCACTCCATCAAGTTGGCCCTTATAAAAGTGTTTACCTTTTGGACAGTGGACAGTATGTTTATGAGAGCTATCTTTGTATCTGTATCTTTGTATCATCTACCCAACCACCTATCCATCTAAACTTGATTTCAGTTATGTCAGCAAGCCACTGAAGGGAAGCAGGTCTCAGTAGCTGATGGGAAAAGAAATGATGTGTGCAACCATCTGTGCCATTCCTGCAAACATGCAGCTATAGGAAGTCAACAGTTCAGAAACATGAAGTTACAGAAATTAACTGGGTAAAGTCAACTGTCTCTTTTAATATGATGTCATATAATATTTTAGCTGAAAAAATAAGGTACAAAGAGAGTAAGTGACTTGATTTAGGTCATTCAGTGGGGAAGTAATAGGTCCTGAATTCAAACTTTCCTGTGTCTCCTAAATTCATACTTTCCCTTCAGCAGTTTCAGCAAATACTTTTCAACTTGATTTATAGAGGTAGGCAAACTATTTTTAAATAAGCACCCGTATCTCATTTCCCAGGAAAGAAATCGCTACCATCTTTCAAAATTCACATAAGGACCCACGGATTTGCTTTGTTAATTCCCAGCAAGTCCTCCTGTGAGACAAAAGCATTCCCGTTGTTAGATCCACCAGCTGAGAGTCACAGAGGCACACCCCTCCCCATCCACTGAAGTCCTGCTACCACCTGGCTTCTGAGCTCTTTCTATAACTCTAGCTACAGCATCTTCTGGCTCTCAAGGGCCTTTCACAAGTACCCTGCAGCAGGATTCTGTAAAGGAGTAGTGGCTTCAATGAGTTTCTTGCTTCATCTGATGCGATATCTAGGGAAATAGGGGGCCCTTGAGGAAGAATGACTTTCTAGCGCCATTTTGGAAAAGAGGGCTTTTGTAAGAATATAATATTCTCTGTGATTTATGACTCTTTGTGTGTGTCTAATTTCCTTTTCCTGGCCTTTCTGACCTAAAATGAGTGGGTCCCTGAGTTCACCAATTTAATATGGCATACAGCTTTCGTCCTCATGGCACTACTATTTTGTGTGTTATTTTTATAAGAAGTGTCTGCTCTATTCCACTGCAAAGGACTGACCTAGGGCAATGATCCTCAAAGATGATATTAAAGGTTGTCCTTTTCTTATGGGCAGGAGAACTTAAAAGACATTTCTCCAAAGAGGAAATGCAAACGGCCAACAGGCATATGGCAAAATGTTCAACATCCCTTATCATCAGGGAAATGCAAATTAAAACCACATTGAGATACCACCTTATACAAGTAAGAATGGCATATTATATAATATGTGTGTGTATATATATATATAAACAAGCAACAACAAATGCTGGTGAGGATGTGGTGAAAAGGAACTCTCCTACATTTCTTATATTGCTGGTGGGAGTGCAAACTGGTCCAACCACTATGGAAAGCTGTCTGGAGGTTCCTCAGTCTACTAAAAATAGCTATCATAAGGCCCAGCAATTCCACTCCTAGGGATCTTCCAAAAGGACACAAAAACATTCATTGAAAAGAGAACCTGTACACCTATGTTTATTGCAGCACTATTTATAATAGGTAAAACCTGGAAACAACCCAAATGCCCAAAAATAGAGACTGGATCAAGAACATGTGGCATAGATACACAATAGAATATTATTCAGCCATCAAAAAAGATAAACTCATGCCATTCTCTGCAACATGGATGGAACTAGAAGGAATCATGCTCAGTGAAATAAGCCAGGAGGAAAAAGAAAAACATTGGATGGTTTCACTTATAGCAGGAATATAGGGGAACCCAATAAACTATCAGTGTAAAAAAATAATAACAATATAAAACATAACAAAGCAAAACCAGACAATTATAAATCAGAGACATCCTGCAGGGGAGGAGGCGGGAGAGGATCAGAGGGAAGGAGGGAGGGAGAAACACAGGGGACTGAGGTGATGGTGCACGGGTGCACTGGCAAAGGGAATTCTAAGGGGACAAATTCTATGGGGACTACACCTGAGGGGTGGGGGGAAGCAAATATTGTTTAAAAATGAACACTGATATAAAAATAAAAAATAATAATATTAAAAAAATTATAAAAAAATAGAAAGTGGGAAAAAAGGTTGTCCTTTTCTTTATTATAATAAAGATGGCAACACAATTGAGCCCTTAACATATGCCAGGCAGAGGGTGTGTGCATTACATAAATGATCTCACTGAGCGGTGGTCACCACATCCTGATAGGGCAGGTGTTAAAATAAACCCCCTTTTGTAGATGAGGATACTGAAATGCAAAAGATTTAAGTAACTTGTCAAGATGATGAAGGGGATCAGGGTATGCCACCACAAAATACGACACTTTCGTACAAGGTTTATGTTGAGTTGAAGGCTTTTGAGAATAAGCAGATGCTATAGCTTCTGTATTTCTCTTATCTACCTAAAGACAAATCATACCTTTCCCTCTGTGAAGGTGGCATAAATTTCCCTCAGGAAGCTGTATCTGCCTCTCCTGTAACAAGAATAAGAGAGCAATTCTTATCTCCAGAGAGAGATAGTTGGCATGGAGATGAGTCTTCACAAACAGTCTTCACTAAAATAAGCCTTATCTTCTATTAGTTTCCTTCATATATTTCCTAGTCACTTCTCCACAATTTATCATCTCTTGAAGCCCAAACTCCATGATGTTAGTTAAATTGGTATATAAACCTTGGATTTCAACTGCTTCTTTGAGTTTCACCAGTTTTCTGTGAAATACTGCACGTGCAAGTATTAATAAAAAGTATACCCTTCTCCCCTGCTGAGCTGTCTCTCATTAGCCTAATTTGCAACCTCTCAGGTTGTGAATATGAGAGAACATTTTATTTCCAACAA